CTAATTTTGCATTTTTCCTTCCATTATCTTGACTCTTTTCCTGTACATCTTTAACCCTTATTATGAAGAAGCCAATCCTGTAAGATGTGGAGTTCTCTTTCTATTCACGTAGTTTTTTTTTCGTTTTGTATTTTCTTCCGTATTTCTTTAGAACAATGAATATTTACTAACTACATTGTACTACTTAATCACAATAATTACAATCAAAGAAATAAAAAGCACAGTCATAATTAAAATTTACAAATATAAATTCCAGAAATGAATTTTTAGCAGAATAAAACATATAAACCTCAATATATACTGGATATTAAAAAAAATATATATATGTTCCTAATCTTTTTATGCCTTTTATCTAATTTACCGTAACTGTAAAAATACAGTTATCTTTACATTAATTGTTCTTTTTTAAGTGAAGACTGCGATATTTTAATATTACACAGTACAAACTATATACAGTGCTCTGCCGAAGGTATAAAACATGCTTTCTTAAAAACATTTATAAATACATGTACAAAAACTTACAATTATTTTCACTGACATGTATCCAACCCATTTTAAAACAAAATATAACGAATTATTATTTAATAATGCAAAGTCCATGTATTTATTACAACGAAAATAACTTATTATTTTTTGAATTACATAGAAAGTTCGTACAATTTTTTCAATTAAACTGTGACAGGGTGAATTTCAAACTGTAAAAAGTTGTTTGAAAGTATGAAAGGGCAAAAATAACACTGGTAAGAGCTTCCGCATATTGCCCAAGTGTAAAAGTAAGCCATAGGTCATGAACGTCAGCGCTCTTCTCAAAAGTCTAATATGTATTTGTAGTAGACCGTTTTTGAATTTCTTCCCTATCCCTTGAAGCAATATTAATATTTACTCATTGCTACTTATTAACAATAATTAGAAATAGAGGAAAAAAACTAAGTACAGTAACTGAAAAAACAAATATAAATCCGAGAAATTAATTCTTTAGCTTAAATATATAAACCTTTAAAATGCCAAAACCCCACTTTATCCTATATTTTTCTTTATCTTTTATCCAAATTATATGTAAAAATATAGTAACCTTTTTGTTTTTAAGTGAAGACTTTGATATTTTAATACTTCACAGTAAAAATAAACAGTGCTCTGCAAAATGTATAAACTTGACTTCTTAAGGTGAAATATCCTTCTGCTCCAAATTCACCAATATATTTTTTTGAATTCCAAACATTGATTTTGACCAGCAACATTTGTTTCAAATGGGAAAAAAGTTTAAAGTATGATTTTTTTTTCCAGAAATAAATATTACCTCGCATCATATTGTGAAGAAAATTTTATATAGTAAATAGAAAGATCAATTTTTTTTTAATCTCACTAAGAAATTAAAAATATGAGGTATATAGGAAAAAAATATTTACTATCATACTCATTCAATTCTCACGAGAAAACATCAGGAAGTTGTTTTTAAACTTTTTAAATCGGAATATCAAATCGGTTTTGTGCTTGTAAAATAATGCGCATCCATCCACAAGAGTTATCTTTCCATTATCGCCCTTGCCAATATTTTTTTTTTTGTAAAACAAATAACTCAAGTAGCTGCAGATCTGTAGCGTTATGGTTTTATATATTTGTCTTTCACACTAAACTGAAAAAACATTCCTTATATTTACATTTTACCTGTTTGGAGGCAACAAAAATATACCCAATATTAGAATTTCTCGCTGTCCTATTTTATTGCATTGTACTAGCGTCGATGCAGTCTCATTGTGACGTCACGTTAACGCACGTTTCTCCGTGTATATTTCTACGCGTGAGTATACACGAAAATGTTTTTCAAATCAATTTCACAGTAAGCTTACAAGAAAAACACAGCGAATGTAAATATATACATATATCATTTTTTCTTGCATTATCATTTAAGCAAATGACCCATTTGATATGAATATATTCAACGATAGTAAAACATAATAAAGGGGGGTAATCAAAGTTGAACCTGCTTTTTGATTGGTTAATTTGGATCTTGAATCTCGAAACTCGAATTTCGAATCTCGTATTTTGAATCTCGAATCGCGTATTTCGAATCTCGAATGAGCCTTCTGGGCTTTCGTAGATGAGAGATAACTTTCTTAAGACTTTTTTTTATATAAAATTTAGTGAATTGTCTTGTCAGATTACACAGAGTCCATTAATGAAGAGCATTCTATGGGCTACTGAATCAAATCTTTCCTATCGTAAAGATGTTGATTTTAGTTTATATTGCCAATATTTTCATTTATAATTTATAAAAGTTTATAATAAGCATTTATACTCAGTTCCATTAAACTGTGTAACTTAAAATCTTTCTATCTCCTAACATATACGTCTATTAATTGTTACAAAATCTTCAGATGTACAATCGTATTAGCTGCAGATCTGTAGCTTTATGGTTTTATATATTTGTCTTTGACCATAACGCTACAGATCCCTTAGTGCAAAAAAGGTGAAATTTACGGCGCAATATTTTTTTGCGCTCTTTTGTGGAGAATTTCTCCACTTTCTAGCTTTGGTCAATCAACTACCTTTCACTCCCTGATTCTAGACACATTCTGTAGCCAATATGTATAGTTTATCCACCTCCAAACCATTTATAGTTGTCCTACATGCAATAAACTCGCTGGATATGAATTTTCAGTAATCTAACAAACAATTTTCATCAAGGGAGTTTTTCACTTGTAGAGACGACTATAAAGGGTTGGGAGATGGAGAAAATATACAGATTGATTAAATAATGTGTCTAGAATTAGGGGTTGAAAGGTAGTTGCTTGAACGATGCTGGAAAGTGGAGGCATTCTCCCCAATGCTAGCGCGCTTCATGAAATATGCCTACGTGACAAGTCGGTGTGATTCACACACCAATAACTCACACAAAACTAAAAAACATTCCTTAATTAAACGAAATAAAAAGAAATTTTAGGTTACATTTCGGAATATATATATATAAATTCTTATTTTTCCTCATTAAACAAAACAATAGTTACGAATATAGAATATTTTATGGTCTTATCATCGCGGAGTTCTTAGATCGACATTTTTAAAATAAGAACATTGATGAGGGAGAAAATTATTATTTATATGAAATACTTAGAAGGGTACATTTCTTTACATTGTGCCCCCTCCATAATTTTATGATTTTGCCGATATATAAAATACTATAGAAATCATAACTACATATGCTTGTACCCCCTAAATAAAAACATCTGATGACTTTAGGCTATTTGCTTTGTTTTTGGTTGTCAAGAATTTTTTTGTAGTTGAAAACTGAAAATTTATGGCTGTGCACCCCCCCCCCCCACAATAGTAAAAAAATTATGTTTGGAAAAAAGTGGGATGTATGTACCGTATATACTCGCCTATAAGTCGGATTTGTGGGAGTGAATTTCTGGTCGAAAACTCTATGTCCTACTTATAGGCGAGCTATAAAATGAATGGTATTATATGAGGTCGGTCCCTCTGAAATATAAGCTTATTAAGTGCAACCGACTTATAGGCGAGTATATACGATACTGTTAATCTAGGGATACAACCATGTATCCAAAGTAGATAACACGAAATATATATATTCTTTATATAAATCTCTTATGACATTTGTGAAGCTATTATAAATTAATTAAGCATATCTTGCAGACCAAAATCCCATATTTCTTTAAATTTCGTTTTGATAATATAAAACACTTTTTCTTGCGTTGTAATTTAATCAAATGACCTCCTCGGTATTAAAATACTCAACGATTTCTTAATGGTAAAAAATAATAAAGGGGAGTAATTGAATCTCAAATCGCCTTTTGATTGGTTATTTTGGATCTTGAATCTCGAAACTCGAATTTCGAATCTCGAATTTCGAATCTCGTATTTCGAATCTCGAATCTCGAATGAGCCTTCTGGGCTTTCCTACTCATCGGAGGGATAATTCACCCTAGAATAAATATTAATACAAAAATTTGCATTTTTTCCCAGTAACATGCATCCAACCCTTTCAAAACTAAATATGACGAATAATTATTTATATATTTGTGCAACTGCATGTATTTATTACAACAAGAATGACATAGATCTTTTTACGTTATAGAAAATTCAAATTTTTAATTGTCAAAATGATAAAACATGGACAACAGACACTTTAAAATATGTATATTTTGATGTCACGGAGCAATTTAATTTTTTTGACACTTTACCATTCTCAAAAAATTCTCAAAATTAAAAAGACAGATTACTCGGATCCAATACATTATGAAAGTTAATTTAAAAGCAAGTATGTTAAAAAAGAGGGTTGTACAATTTACTCTGCTGATCGTAGAAGCCGTGCTGGTTTTTTTTATTTATTTATTTTAACAACAGTTTTATAATGAACAGCTCCAGTTAGATAAATACAGTTGCTGCTTCAAAAACATATTAAGGAGAGAGAGAGAGAGAGAGAGAGAGAGAGAGAGAGAGAGAGAGAGAGAGAGAGAGAGAAAGAGAGAGCATCTACAGGGACAGATACGATACTTCTGAAAAGATTGTGTTCATTGTCTTGTAACTTAACCCTAGATGTGTTGTAAGTTTTTATGACAATCTATGACAAAGTGGCATTGCTTTTGAACATTTAACATTTTACAACGTAATCAAGTTTATATCCAAATAATTTTAAATATTCTTTAATATAAAACCTCATCTTATAATATACGTTTAAAAAATATGAAAAGGTGTTGTAATTGTACTTTTCGACATATTAAAAAGTGAATTTAAATAAATACAAAGTCATCTTAAGTATTAACTATTTTTCTTAATATCTGTCATGTAAAAATGATATTTTTTTTTAAGTTTTGAAAGTTGGTACATTTATACAAAATAATGTTACATGTATAATGGTATGTTATGCCAGCTTTCCTCTGAATTTGACGTAAACATCCTGAATTTTTTCTTGATTGTCAAATAAAAATCGCTGCTTAAAATTAACATTAAAAGTGTTGCGGAAGAGAAATATTTTAGGGAAAATTTAAATTTCCTGTTTAAGGGTATATAAACTACGGATTCTTTGTGGAGACACTTATATCAAGACAGCGAGAAAGTAAAACCATGGCAGGAGTGTGGACGGCTTCCCTCGTGTTCGGCTTGTTCGTTTGTGTCGCTAGGTCTCAGCAAATTTATCATAACGAAAATAATGACTGCGTCCGTAATGAGCAAACAATGTTAATTTTGAAAGATCAGATTAATTTTCTAAAACAGGAGAACGCGAGAGAAATTAATTCCTTAAGGCAAGAGAACGCGAGAGAAATTAATTCATTAAGGCAAGAGAACGCAAGAAAAATTGATTCATTAACAAAGGAGAACGCGAGAAAAATTGATTTCTTAACAATGGAGAACGCAAGGATTAAGGAATATTTTGATGAGATGCTTAGCATCCTGAAAAAAAATATTTCCGATTCCGAAGAAGATTTAAAGAGCAGTATATTGAAAATCATCACAAATGGTAACTCTCTCTCTCTCTCTCTCTCTCTCTCTCTCTCTCTCTCTCTCTCTCTCAGAGTGCATTTTATATAACGATTATTCTCATTTTAGGTAATTTATTCTTTTTCTTTCAGGGTTAAACTTAAAGAAAGATTGTAATGACCTCTACATTAATGGTAATACAAAATCTGGTGTGTATGACATTAATCCGTCTGGTGTATATAAGATAAATCCGTCTGGTATCGAAAGCAAGATCAGTGTCTTCTGTGATATGATGGTTGTAGGCGGAGGTTGGACAGTAAGATCTCTCTCTCTCTCTCTCTCTCTCTCTGTCTCTCTCTCTCTCTCTCTCTCTCTCTCTCTCTCTCTCTCTCTCTCTCTCTCTCTCTCTCTCTCTCTCTCTCTCTCTCTCTCTCTCTCTGTCTCTCTCTCTCTCTCTCTCTCTCTCTCTCTGTCTCTCTCTCTCTCTCTCTCTCTCTCTCTCTCTCTCTCTCTCTCTCTCTCTCTCTGTGTGTGTCTCTCTCTCTCTCTCTCTCTGTCTCTCTCTCTCTGTCTCTATCAACTCATCAATTTCAGGTACTAGCTATTGATTTTCGATTGTAATTGATAAATCTTTGATTTTAAAACTGATATGAAATCTTTTTGATGAAACCACGAGAAATGACGCTAAATGGTCATTGAATGATTTTTTTCTAGCCTAAGTTGCTGAAAGATACTAACATTCTAGCAGTAAATATGTTTAATTGCTAAGTAGAATAATTTTTTTTATAATTTCATGAATTAAATTTTATTTACTTGAAATAGTTGTTGAGAGTAGATATTAAGTAGATTTTTGTATGAAAGTTTTTTTTTTTCAAAAAGCTCATAACTTGAAAAAATTGCATATATAAAAACAAAATAGGCACATTTAAAAGATTATTTTAATGAATAATCTATTTGAAACATTGTTCACAGTATAACATAGCAATCAAAAACGTCACTACTTTCATTAGTTACCCCTCTTTAATTTATAAATCTCTAGGCAATCCAGAAGCGGGTCAGTGGATCCGTGAGATTCAACAGGACGTGGACTGAGTACAAGACTGGGTTCGGGAGTCCTAACGACTCTTACTGGATTGGTAATTAATAAACATAAAAATAATATAAATGGTTACAAAGGAAAAAGGCAAAATTATGGTTACCGAAGGGGGTGGGGGGAGAACTATTTCCAGAGTAAGAAATGGTTTCCTCTCTCGGGGAATCATAATTTGCTATTTCAATTGTGTCCATTACATAACTGTATAATATTTTTTTGTTACTTTAGGGGATGGTGTTTTCTTTCTGATTATGAACAGTGTTGATTTGTATTTTAATTTAAATAAACTTTATATCAATTCATGTTATATAAAACGATTTCTTTACATTGATTTTTAAAACATGTAGTATCTTACTGATAAAATGGATTTTCTGCATACATTTACAACTTTTTGTAGTAATTTATGAAAACAATCCTCAAATAAACAAGTTTGTTTTATGAATTCATTTATAACACAAAGATACCATATTTAAGGGGATGACGTCATTCATCAACTTACAAAGGGAAGGAACTCCTCCCTGTACGTTTCCATCACACTTACCAATAGGACAAAGCTCTATGAATTATACAACCAGTTCTCTGTTGATGATGAAGCCAACCAATACAGACTTTTCCTTGGAGGACCAGCAACCGGGACCCTGGGTAGGTAGAAGAAAAACGAATGACGATAACTTAATAAAGAGAGAGAGAGGACCAGGTACCGGGACACTAGGTAGGTAAAAGTGAGCAGAATATACAAATAGCGATCAATAAGTAGTGAGGGAGAGAGAGAATTAGTTTTGTCTGTTTCTAGTGACAGGTAATAAACAACCAAAAAACCATTTTTCTGAGGACCAGTTCTATTGTTAGGTGAGTATTGGGAGGAATGCATGAATATATATGTTATGCAAGTGCCGAAAATAGAAATTCGTTCAGTATGTGCTTTAAGGTGGAACGCCACACCACTTTTTTTATGGATCTTTGTGACATCCATTTTAAACAATGGTTTCAGCATTGAAAGGCCATTATTCACTCTTAATTATCTTATATTAATTTTTTTTGTATTTTTTCAAAGAATATGAAAAAAATCATTTATATTCAAATAAGTTGTTTTCGAGTTAAAAGTTTGCTGTAAATGAATGCATCATATGAATATCTTATAAAATACGAGGGTTGTCCCAAAATTCCGTAGACTGAGCTCATATCTTTTAAAGAAATTATGTATCTTAATAAAATTTACAAGGTGGATAAAGCGTGTTCTTGGCAGATAAATTACAAAGTTTTACGATGTTTACTTGAAAACTTTTCGAGTAATAACATTTAAAGTTATATTGTTGTCTAACACCCGGTGCAAACTGCAACGTCAAAAAATACAAATGTCAACAGTTCAAATTTTTGGAGAAAATATTTCAATTACCAGAATCAAATTCTTAAATTAAACGAAACGATCATAGTTATAAATGTGAAATATCTTAATTACTATGATATGATGAAACATTAAAATATGTAAACAAAGTATATGCATGTACAAGTATGAAATAATAATAATTTGAAAACGCTACATTTCTACGGGCTTTTCGTCTGTTTTCTCTAAGGGAGTTGCACAATGCAACTCTTGCCCATTTCTTAGCCCCGTCTTTTATCTTAGCTACTGTTATTTACATATACATAGAGAAACCGTTTTAATCATTTTAAATACGCAGGATGAGAAAAAGTTTCCTAGTCTACCAAACCGTTGTGACTGGTACATTTTTGTAAGAGTAAATTCAGGATCAAAACACTTGATCATAGTGCAGTGTGCCGCCTGTGCCAACGCAGCCGCCATTTTTCAGAAAGTCGGATTTCAACCTCATGTATATAACATATTTCATAATATTTATCAAAGCATAAGCACCAAAATTTGGAGAACTGTAGTTAATAGAACAGTATTAAGAATTTACATTTCCATTACAAAAATACGGAGTAGTAATTACTTTTCCGTAGGGTTTTAAATATAATATAAAAAAATTTAATTGCAACTCTAGGGTATTGCGCCGCCTACCTACACCAGATAATGAAATGTGTTTTTTAAATTGGAATAATTTGTTACTCCATATTTGTCCATAAATTTATTAGATAGTGTTGGTTTTATCTATATACAAAGTTTCATTAATGTATGACATAGGTTTCCAACAAAACAACGCTTGTCTACGGAATTTTGGGAAAACCCTCGTATGTCAAGGAAGTCTGGTTAGACTAATTTGTTTTTAGAAAAAAATATTTATGAAAATACAACACATTATGTGTGAATATTTTTTAAACCTTTGGTTAAAAACACCATAAAACTAGTCACAACTAAGGAAAACACGTTTGTCAATCATATTTTAAAAAGAAATTGAAACAGAATTGAGACATTTTAAGATAAATTATATTTTTTAATATTTGGACTTAACCCGATCAAAATTAAACCCCGATCAAAATTAACACAATATGACTAAAATGCTATTATTGCCTCTTCATGTGTTTACAATGAAGAAATCTATTTTATTAGGTCACCTGAGTAAACTCAGGTGACCTATTGCTATCCGTTTTCGTCTGTCGTCGTTCGTCGTACGTCGTACGTCGTTCGTAAACTTTTGAACATTTTCAGCTTCTTCTCTGCAACCACTGAACCAATTTCAACCAAATTTGGCATAAAGCATCTATGGGTTAAGGGGAACAAAGATTGTGAATTTCATGATCCCTGCCCCCCTTGGGCCTGAGGGTGGGGCCAAAACCACTTAAATTAATGCAATCTTTAAAAATCTTCTTCTTTACTCCTGGACATCAAGTAGTCAAACTGTTGGTATGATTGTAATCAGCATTGAGTCCTCTACCAAAATTGTGAAATTCATGGCCCTGGGCTCAGGGGTTCTAGTGCTAGGGTGCGGGCTAAATAAGTATATAGTGAAAATGCATTATTTCTTTGAAAATCTTCTTCTCTGCTCCTTGGTATTAAATAAACCAACTAAGTAGATAGTTATGATGAGCAAGAGTGCCTCTACCAAAATTGTGAATTTTATGAACCAGGGTCAGGGGTTCTGGTGTTAGGGCGGGGCTCTATTGATTATATACAGTGAAAATACATGATTTCTTTGAAAATCTTCTTCTCTGCTCCTAGGTATTAAATAAACTAACTAAGTACATAGTTATGATGAGCATGAGTGCCTCTACCAAAATTGTGAATCTTATGCCCCAGGGTCAAGAGTTCTGGTGTTGCGAGAGGGGGGGGGCTCTATTGATTATATAGTGAAAATACACGAATTCTTTGAAAATCTTCTTCTCTGCTCCTAGGTATTAAATAAACTAACTAAGTGCATAGTTATGAAGAGCAAGAGTGCCTCTACCAAAATTGTGAATTTTATGGTCCCAGGGTCAAGGGTTCTGGTGTTGGGGGGGCTCTATAGATTATATTGTAAAAATATATGAATTCTTTGAAAATCTTCTTCTCTTCTCCTAGGTATTAAATAAACTAACGAAGTGCATAGTTATGATGAGCAAGAGTGCTTTTACCAAAATTGTGAATATTATGGCCCCAGGGTCAGGGGTTCTGGTGTGTGTGTGTGGGGGGGGGGGGCTCTATTGATTATATAGTGAAAATACATTAAATCCTTGAAAATTTTCTTCTCTGTCTCTGGGTATGAAGCAGAGGAACTACCTATATAGTTATAATTAGCAGGGGCCCTAATCTTGTAGAATTGTGAATTTCAAGGACTCAGGGTCAGGGGTGGGGGTGGGGCTCTACTTATACTGAAAATGAATTAATTGTTTGAAATCTGCTCCTTTGTATTTATAAAACATTTATTTATTTTTTGATAGGCAATTTTAAGGGTGCCTTTTTAAAATTTGTGCAATGTGTGGACCCAGGGTCAGGGGTTTATTTCACAGTGTTAGGGGCACTACTGATTATTGCTGAATATTACTGATTAGTTGGAATGCATTTTTGTTCCCCTTCCTTGCGTATGGGTATTCAGTACCCCTGCGAGGTGGTCATGAATAATTTATGAATTTCCTTGAATTTTTCATGAATTTTTTTCATGAAATGTTCATGAAACGTTCATGCAGATCCTATGAACTTATTATTGGGCATTTTCAAATCAATAAACCAAGCTAAGCAACTGCTAAGTGTATTGTTATGATGATCAGTGGTGCCTCTTTCAAAATTGTGAATGCCATATAGCATCTGGCTTAAAACATGAATCAAATTCAATAACTGGAAAGTTGTTGCAGAATGCTCAGGTGACCTATAAGGCCCGTGGGCCTCTTGTTGTCAGTTTCAATAATGTTTTAACCCTTATAACACCCAATCAGAAAAGTGTTCTTTCGAAAATGTTATTTATTTCCAATAATTTACAATTACGGTTGGGATCGGTTTAATTTTGATCGGGATTGGCAAAAAAAAAAAAAAAAAAATAATAATAATTTCTCTAAAATTTGGCAATTTCGTTTCAATTTCTTTTATAAATATGATTAATGAACATGCTCTCCCAAGTTATGACTGGTTTTAAGATGATTTTATCCACATGTTTAAAAAATATTCACAAATTATGTGTTTCATTTTCATAAATATTTTATTTAAAAAGAATTAATATCTATATGGCTTTTCTTTGCATATTTTATTAGGTATTCATGTGATGCATTCATTTACAGCAAAATGTTTTAGCTTATGACAGCATTTCAATACTGAAACCATTGTTTAAAAAGGTTAACTCGGAGATCTATAAAATAAAAAGTTAGTGTGGCATTCCTACATAAAGACAGTAACCCCCTCCCCCTTGATTATATGCCCTTGGCCCAAAGATATCTTTATTCATTTTTTTTCTATATCTTCTAGTACACATTAACATTGCCATCCAAATGTATGAAATTTTCAAATTTATTTAAATTACATATTCGTAAACAGTCAATATAAAACATCGAATGACAGACAACAGAAGAAAAACAAGCAATACTTTTTGACACGATTCTTTACTTCTTTTATCTTGAATAATGCGTATATTTTTCTTTAGTTTTAAGTTTTATGTAGATAATGAGATAATAGGTGTGTGTGTAATATTTTATCTTTGATTACTTTAGGAGACGCTATGCTATATACCGTGAATTCTGCCGGAGACCTGTCCGGGATGTCGTTCTCCACCCTGGACAGAGACCACGACAGAACTAGTGATAACTGTGCTGTAAGTAAGGGAGGAGGGGGAGGCTGGTGGTACAACGCGTGTCACCTCGCCAACCTTAACGGTCCCTGGTCCCCGGCTGAATGGGACAGTCCCTGGTCTCCTACCGTGATGAATAGTGGGGAGATAAGGGAGACACTCATGATGATAAAGCCCCACTGACTGTTATAGCTTACATATTGAACAGTACATTGTAATTTGAATATTTAATCCCTTTAAAGATGTATATAGAATATGTGCATTGATTGAAAAATGTATATTAAATTTTAACATTTAATCGAATTTATAGTTATGGAAAGTGCATGTAAATACAAAGTCAAATACTTTTATATCAAATCATTATGGCTTTAGTCTTGTTATAACGGTGTCGTCGATGTATTATTACAAATAACAAACTTATAGATATAATAGTATTATGTGTTATAATTTTAATGAACAGTCCTATCACGTTCTGAAAACAATGTTATAACCTGAAATCCTAAAACAAAGTAACCCAGCAAACTATCTACTTAAATAATTTTCGTTTTGTTATATTATTATTTGTCATTTTATTATTTATTATTGTATTTTAAGCATATAAATAATAAAGAAATTTTTTAATAATCTCCATGAATTGTAACTGATCCCGGTGAAAGGTCAGATGATTGAGGAGAAGTAGAAAATAACTCTATCAGTGTACAGGTGTGTAACTCTATCTGTGTACAGGTGTGTAACTCTATCTGTGTACAGGTGTGTAACTCTATCTGTGTACAGGTGTGTAAATCTATAAGTCTAAATGTGCGTAACTCTATCAGTCTACATGTGTGTAACTCTATCAGTCTACATGTGTGTAACTCTATCAGTCTACATGTGTGTAACTCTATCAGTCTTCACGTCTGTTACTCGATTAGTCTAAACGTGTGTTACTCTAGCTATCAGTCTACACGTGTGTAACTCTATCAGTCTACATGTGTGTAACTCTATCAGTCTACACGTGTGTAACTCTATCAGTCTACACATGTGTAACTCTATAAGTCTATCATCTCCATATACGTGTGTAGATTAAATACGTAGATTTTCTTTCCTATACAAATATTTGTCGTTACTTGCGTGTGTACTTCAGTGTAAGTATAAAGTGTGTGGAAATGCTGGATTTGAATGCCGAATCAATTAATTGTAGAACAAATGGTTGTATGATTTTTTATGTCATGAAGGCTGTGACAGAACAACTTCATAATCGTAAACAAACGTCGCGCTTATTTTGAGTGTTTGAAGTTTCTAAGATAGCTTCAGAAACTTTAACGTTATATTGATATAATTATATGTTAATCTTTTAGACAATATTGCTACCGATCATGCAATGCAAAAAATTGCAATCTGTAGACTAATATTTTTTTTTAATTTTCTGACATTTTACAAAAATTTTTGATTTTATTTTTGGGGGAGGGTGTCTCAAGGGAGGTCTATAATAGGATAAAGAAATATATAATATAAAACAGGTTAATAACAGAATGGATAAAATAAAACAGGTTAATAACAGAATGGATGAAATAAATAAAGTCCATACCAGAATGGATAAAATAAAACAGGTTGATATCAGAATGGATGAAATAAAACAGGTTAATTACAGAATGGATAAAATAAAACAGGTTGATAACAGAATGGATGAAATAAAACAGGTTGATATCAGAATGGATAAAATAAAACAGGTTAATTACAGAATGGATAAAATAAAACAGGTTAATAACAGAATGGATAAAATAAAACATGTTAATAACAGAATGGATAAAATAAAACAGGTTAATAACAGAATGGATAAAATAAAACAGGTTAATAACAGAATGTATAAAATAAAACAGGTTAATAACAGGATGGATAAAATAAAACAGGTTAATAAGAGAATGGATAATATAAAACAGGTTAATAAGAGAATGGATAAAATAAAACAGGTTAATAAGAGAATGGATAAAATAAAACAGGGTAATAAAAAAATTAATGAAATAAAACAGGTTAATAAGAGAATGGTTAAAATAAAACAGGTTAATAACAGAATGGATAAAAAAAATAAAGCAGGTTAATAACAGAATGGATAAAATAGAACAGGTTAATAACAGAATGGATAAAATAAAACAGGTTAATAACAGAATGGATAAAATAAAACAGGTTAATAAAAGAATGGATAAAATAAAACAGGTTAATAACAGAATGGATAAAATAAAACACTGCAATGAACAGTTTTATAACTTTCTGCTAAACACTGCAATGAACAGTTTGATAACTTTCTGTTAAACACTGCACTGAACAGTTTGATATCTTTCTGCTAAACACTACACTGAACAGTTTGATAACTTACTGCTAAACACTGCACTGAACAGTTTGATAACTTACTGCTAAACACTACACTGAACAGTTTGATAACTTTCTGCTAAACACTGCACTGAACAGTTTGATAACTTACTGCTAAACACTACACTGAACAGTTTGATAACTTTCTGCTAAACACTGCACTGAACAGTTTGATAACTTACTGCTAAACACTACACTGAACAGTTTGATAACTTTCTGCTAAACACTGCACTGAACAGTTTGATAACTTTCTGTTAAACACTGCACTGAACAGTTTGATATCTTTCTGCTAAACACTGCACTGAACAGTTTGATAACTTTCTGCTAAACACTGCACTGAACAGTTTGATAAATTTCTACTAAATACTACAACGAACAGTTTGATAACTTACTGCTAAACACTACACTGAACAGTTTGATAACTTACTGCTAAACACTACACTGAACAGTTTGATAACTTTCTACTAAACACCGAAAATTGCTAAAAAAAATTACTTGAAGGGACCAGTTACCTTTTGATCTGCAACTAAATATAAAACCATATTGCTACATTTTCTGCAGCTAGAGTTTATGGCTGTTGCAATTTAAATGTGTCTTAGGCAAAAATAAATGATTTTAAAAGACAAGACAGGTGAATAAAAATAATATTGTTAGAATTTAATTTAGATTTTTTCAAAGAAATATAAAACGCATCACTGTTCCTGACAGTGTTTGCAACGAAAATGTTGCTGAACATCACATCGTTGCAGTTATGAGATTACATTACATCTTTAAACAAAAGTAATATGTTCAAGTATTTATCAGTTTACAAATATTTAAACCTCCTCCCCTGGAATACTTTTTAAAGTGAATGGATGAATAAAACTCAATAAGAATTAGAAAAGATACTGAGCAAAGGGACTGTCTAGGGTCAGTCACGTTTTTAAAATCGATCCGAGTTCAAAGGATAACGAGTTTCACAATGTTTCAAAAGATACTGTATTCTGAATAATTAACAGATTGTAATACAAATATAAACAATTACATATGAAACATTATTCTAATATTGAAATCTAGGAGAGTGTAATTTTTGGCCCTGATCCCCTAAAGTACGTCTGATCTGTATATGTAAATAGTAACTTCTCTCCAAACGACCTCTACCGGCCGGCCAATACAGCCCCGGCACGCACATACACAAACCTAGTCATGCAAGGGGAAATAACTCTAACATAGAAATAAGACAAAACCATCACAATACATCCAATCAAGTAAGTTGGGCATTCTGTGAAAACAGCGTAAATAAAGTTGTATTGAGAAATAAAAAAAAATCTAAAACAATTGTAGACATACAGATTCTTATTATATTTCCAAGAGGTAAAATATATTAATTAGATCATAAAATTTATGCTTCGATCTTGACGCATACAACTATGACCACATATATTATGGTTTAATTCTATATGACGGAGGCATATTATGCACATTATGCAATATTTAGAGTAAATCTTTACCTGTTTAACTTAGTGATTCTTGAATGTGAAAGAGATTTATCCCGAACCTTTAATGAAATCAATAACTTCATATCAAACCTACTAGGGTTCGTGTTTGTTATATGGCGAACGATTTTTCCTGGAACTGATCTTAAAACGATGTTCAACATACAGTATATGCTAATTACATTTTGAAATTTTTCCTTATCCATATTCACATTTAGACCCTGACTATATATCCCCGTAGGAGTAGGGAAATGTGTCTTTAGCTAATTAAAATCTGCTATTTTTTTCAAAGAATTATAGCTCAAAGGAAATAACTCTTGCAAACTTCGAACAGGATTTTAGGGATGTTCTTATTTTATTCATCAAGAGAAAAAATAAAAAAAAACTACATTTTTTTTGAACGACAAAATAAACATTTATACTAGAAAGTTGTGTAGTAATATTCTTTTAAAATGACATGCCATGTAAACTAATTTCATCAGTTTCAAAAGGATATAAATCTTTTATGTCTATACTATTCAATGAAATAAAACATGTAAAAGAAAAGTTGGAGATTATACTACAAATTTTCAGCTACTGATGAAGCAAACATCACCACAACATCTCTTGGAACGCTATATATAGAATCTTTATTAAGAAAAACCCTAAGGAAGAAATGAAAATTCAAACATCAGCACAATGTTTATTTTGTAAAAAAGAAGATACTTTTAAAAGGATAGAAAGAAAGACTACTAGTAGAAGTTAAAAAAAGTAATACATCAGCTTTTGAAATGGAAAAAAAACATACTGTAAACCTGAAATTTCATTATTTTGTAGTAGTGTCTTTAAGGTGAAAAGTGGTTTAAAGTTTATTCACCAATATAAACAATTCTTTGTTTATACAATTAACTGACGACAGATTTTTCCGTTATTACATGACCATGACAATGAGCACATGGCGGGCGTGACCGGTCTGCACTGGATGCTCACTCTCCATGGTACCTGATTCCTCCTCTGATGTGTCTGAGGTCCGTGTTTGCTCTGCTTTTGTTTTGTATTGTTTTATGGACTTAAAGATTGAATACTGTTCGTTATCTCCATATCCTTCTTTCATTAATTTGAAAACTTAAGGGTTATGCAGCTGCCTCTGGTTTTCATTTACAAAAGTGTTTAATATTGTAATGAAATCTCAGTCATCGTGCTATAGCATACTCTTGACGTTTCTTTGATATCCAGGATTTTCTGATGACATAGAGAAGAGTGATAAACGCTAGAATAAGGAATGGTTGTGAGATTAAGAAGACTCTTACTACATCTGTGTCATAAAATTTAATGACGTGTACCCTGTATAAGAACGACGGTGTTGATAGGGAGATAATGAACAGATGTCTGAGTATAGAAATCAAAGTAGGTGTTTTATTAATGTACTAAATGAATCACAAGTGTTAACGAGAAAAGAAGAGTCTCCTGATGATAGAGGAAGGGATTTACAACTATTTACTTATTACTTAAAAAGAAATTGCAAAGCAGATATATTGAATCGTCGTAGAAAGAAAAATAATATTGTTAATTAGTGAAACGACGCCGTCATATCTGAATGTGACATCGTCCTTCTCAACATGAGCACTGTTTCCGAGTGGCAATATCAATCTCTTTTTATGTAGGTTTAAGAATGATATTTTTCCTTCCCTAAATGTTTTTCTGGGTCTGGATTTATACAACAAC